ATCCTGATTATGGTGGGAACAGCAGCCGTGTACAGCACCAGCTGGTCTGATCTCTTGATTTAGACTGGGGTCCGTCACATGTGCCGTCCATTTGTTTTCGCCGGCGTTGCCCAGGTCCAGCTCTTTGTGATTATGATCGGCCTCCTGATGAGCTTCGCAGTGGCGGGCAGGCTTGCTGCGTGCATCAATGGGGTGAGGCTTGTATGTGGGTTGCTTTGGTTCACGTAGCTTCGGACCGTAGTTTTCGGTGTGCTGCTGTCTTTGTTGTTCTTGCTGCTGGCGTCTTCTTCCTGTTCTCACCCCGCCCTTTGGAATGCTTCAGGTCGAGTTTCAGTAAAACCAAAAATTCTATAGGTTCTATAGATCCTGTATACTGTAAGCACATGTCGGATTGTTGCGGGTCCCCTGAGCGCTGGTATGTGTCGGAATGTTGCATCTCCGCTTGTCGGAATAATAGAATCGGCCTTCTTGGTTCCGTGCAAGGGTGGCTGTGCGTTCAGGTGCTGTAGCTCCCGTAGATGAAGCTAGGAGCATGGAAGCTGCAGGATTTTCATGCGGAGGGTTTGTAGGAGTATTGTGGGCAGTACCTCCAGCCAATCGTCACCAGAGAAACTTTGAATTCCACATCAAAGATGCTACCATGCAAAAATTGCTGCCGTTTGAAACGGGTTGGGCGAGCTTTGTCTGCCTTCATTCCTGTTGGGTGGTAGCTGTTTGCCGCCTCAAGTTTTCAGCAGATCTCAGCAGTTTCCGCTCTGCCGCCATGAGTGGAGACACACCCAGCGAGGGGCCCGAGAAGCAGCTGCTGATTCAGCTAAGGCAGGAGAAGAGGCAGAGGGTGATCCACGGCATGAAGAACTCTGAAGCTTATCAGACTTACTTGCTCGCAAAGTCATCATTCAACGGCACAGAGGACTGCGGGGACGGCAGTCCAATGAGCCGACCTGAGACTCCAGTTGCGGATGGTGCAAACCCCAAGCGGGTCTGGGAAGACGAGGCATACAACTGGCGGCGCAAGCTTCGTGAATGGTCTAGCAGAGTCGCAGACCGTGCAGCTTCAGAAGAGTAGAGCCTGGATTATGAGGCGTGCAGCTACACAAATTTGATAGTGCATGCTGCGTTGCAATCGCAACGTCGCAAAGTTCCAGACGTCGCTGAGGGAGAGCAGCAGAAAGGAAAAGAACTACTAGCACTAGTACTACTACTACTGCTAGTACTACTACTACTACTACTACTACTACTACTACTACTACTACTACTACTACTACTACTACTACTACTTCTACTACTAGTACTGCTACTAGTACTGCTACTACTGCTACTACTGCAAGTACAAGAGCAAGAACAACAACAACTACTACTACTCCTCCTCCTACCACTACTACTACTCCTCCTCCTACTACTACTACCACCACCACTACTTCTACTACTACTACTACTACGACTATCACTACTATGGGTCGTAGTATTGTCTTATTCTTCCTTGTTTTGGACACGGTGTCGTTTTTTTCAGATGCCAGAAAATACCCATCAGAAAACAGCAGACCTCAGGTACAAACGGACAGAACCTCAAATACGACGAGCAATCCAGAACCCCTGACCCAAACCGTTAATTAAACTTCAAATCCAAAACCCAAGTCCTAAGCCCGAAGCCCTCGGCTATTATAAACAATCAGGCGCCCCGAACGGCAAGCCCTGCTCAGCACCCACCTCCAAAGCCACACCCACACCCATGCCAACCGCACACAGTTCAGCGTCAGCGTTTCTTTGCACTGGTGGTACTACTACTTCTACTACTAGTACTGCTACTAGTACTGCTACTACTGCTACTACTGCAAGTACAAGAGCAAGAACAACAACAACTACTACTACTCCTCCTCCTACCACTACTACTACTCCTCCTCCTACTACTACTACCACCACCACTACTTCTACTACTACTACTACTACGACTATCACTACTATGGGTTGTAGTATTGTCTTATTCTTCCTTGTTTTGGACACGGTGTCGTTTTTTTCAGATGCCAGAAAATACCCATCAGAAAACAGCAGACCTCAGGTACAAACGGACAGAACCTCAAATACGACGAGCAATCCAGAACCCCTGACCCAAACCGTTAATTAAACTTCAAATCCAAAACCCAAGTCCTAAGCCCGAAGCCCTCGGCTATTATAAACAATCAGGCGCCCCGAACGGCAAGCCCTGCTCAGCACCCACCTCCAAAGCCACACCCACACCCATGCCAACCGCACACAGTTCAGCGTCAGCGTTTCTTTGCACTGGTGGTAGATCTCTTGGCAGTGAAACTTCTCAGACCATTTCCTTGGCCTTGTGCTGTGCCAAGCCGGCTCTGCGCTTGGCCTTTCGCCAGGCATTGCGGCTGCAATGCTGTTTTGCTGAGGGGGTCTGGGCCCCAGCTTCGACTCGGTCATTCTCTTGGAGATTGACTTCGGATGGCAGGGTTCCAGAGCTCGATGCAGGTTCCTGGATAAATGGTTTCTCCAGCTCAGCCAGTCTAGCACCGCCAGGCATTTCAGCCAGATGGCCTTTTACATCAGCTGAAATTATGCCTTCCGCAAGACCCAGGTCATGTTCTGTTGCTGCACATGTAGACACGTGGTGCTCGGAAAAAGCTTCTGCTGAATCTTTCTCCAGAGAGCCAGGGCCGCTACGGTTCGCAACCTCCGGCAGGACTTGTGGAGTCGATCCCTCAGTCTGCCCAGATGATGGCTGTGCCTTGAAAGGTGACCCAATTGAGCCAAATACCAGAGCGGCAGTCAGCTCATCTTCTGCAGCATGTGTGTAGTGCTTCACAAAGGTGCCCACATCTGTTCGCTGCTGCAACTCTAGTATAGCGGTTTGACTCGGAGCCTTCTGTGTAGAATTGGGGTTGGTCATGAGCAGGGCAGCATTTGTGTGACGCGTGGCTCCGTGCACGTGAACATGCGCCCCCAAGAAGGCAGGATTGAAGCAGCGTCGTCCGGTGACTTTATACAAGAAGTCTCTGGTGACTCTCACTCCATGCCAGATGCTTTGCCTTGTCCGCCAGGGCTGTTTTGACTTGCGGGCTGCTGGGAACCACAGTGCGTCCTCTTCGAGTGGGGCAGGCCGGAATGTGGTTCGACAGAGCGGTTTCACCTTGTCGAAGAGAGCCTTGTGTTTCTCTCTGTGCTCCTCCAGAACAGGCAAGCACTCCCAACAAAGACCATCTTTCAACAAACCCCGGATAGAGTCCACCACGCAGTCACCAATGCGTGCAATGGCCAAGCCTTCTGCTACCTTTCCAAGGCCCGGAAGGTCTTTTTCATCCTCTCGACACTGAATGACAATGTGGGCAAAGTCACTGTGGCCACCCCCAGACAACACAAAGTCTCGGCCACGAAGCCTCAGCAGCTCGGAAACCCTGCGACCAGTGACCATGCCAAGGTAGAGAGCCACTGCGTACAGAGGCCCGGCCACGAAGACCAGGGCAGCCAGCCACAAAGGCACATCCTTCCTTTGAACGAACACATGCTGGGCTCTGGAAATCGAAAACCTGACGCCAAAGTTCCATGGTTTTGCCTTGCATCCAGGCTTGCTTCTCTGCTGACTCTTCTCGTTCTTCTGTTGTTCATCTTGCTGACCCTTCTTGTTTGCTCTCTTGCGCACGGGCATGCTGCGACTTCCCGAGGCAGCTTTCACGGCAATGCCCTAACGGCCATGGGCAGAAGAAGATCTGCAAGGCATGGCGGCAGTATCAGGCAGAAAATCCAGAATCTAGAAACCTGTGCTCTGTCTCTGTGTGCGTGCACGCGAAGTCTGATGCTTGAATTTTCCATGCAACATGACAAACTTTGTTTTAACTTGCTAGCACCCTTATACTTTCTGCGTTTCCTTCGGACACAGCTGCAGCACCCACACGTCGAGTTGTAAATGTCATGAGCCATGACTGAGACCAAACTGGACTTTCAACGAGAAGAGACATGTTAAAGCAAGGCTGAAAGACTGAAAGCAACGGGTTGCATGTGGGACTTGCAACAGACCCGCACAGGACTTGGGTTTGGACAGACAGGAGTGGCTTGGGTGTCGCGAATGTTCAGTTGTTTTTTTCTCTGGGGTTGGTGGCATTGGACATGTCTTCGGCGTTGGTGGCTTTGGGTTTACTTTTCGACATTTGCACTTGTTGCTCTTGCTGCTGGAGTTTGTTCTGTTGCGGGGGCACGCTTGACCAGCAAATCGCAGGGGCCACTCCTGACAAGCTACAGGGGCCACATTGTGACCAGCAAACTGCAGCAAGCCAGGGGTGAGCCAGCAAACTGCGAGGGCCAGCGCACCTGCAAACCGCAGTTGCTGTTGGCTGGTTTCCATTGTGGCTGTTGCAAATGCCGGTTTTCCTGTGCTTGGGGAGAATGCCTCTTTGCTCTTCTTCCCTTTGCGAGCCTAGCCATCCTTGACACGTCAAAGCCTGGTTTCCTGTAATAGGCCTCATTTTGAGTTGGGTTGCATGTGGGTCTACGATCGGTCTCTTCTTTGCCCTTTCAGTGTTTATCGAAGGCAGACAGGAAGGTACTTAGGCGTTTGACATGTTTCAGAGGCAGACAAGGCACAGAGTGTTCGTAAAGCTTGTGGGGTCATGGAAGGCTTGCATACTGCATCCCGGGCTTCAGTGCAAAAGCAATGCAGAAAACACTGCGGCAGCTTAGTGCGCATGCTAGAATGAACACTACCCAAGCGTTATAGTCAAAAGGCCTGCTCCGTTCTGCCCATTGCCGCAGGTGTCTGCATGCACTCTCAGTGTGGGGCCCAAGAAGAACAGTCTGCCTGTTGGCAGAGGATGGGAAGGTTGCTTGTTCTCAGCATGGGCAGGAGCTGTGTGCCTTGCATGTGACCAAGTAGACAGAGACGACAGAGACTTCCTCGTGACACGCTTCAGTTTCATTACTTGCTGCCCGCAGTGCTGTTTTTCAAGACCACAGCTGCATAAGCTGAGCCACCCGCCGGCCGTGCATCGCTACTGCTCATGGCGTCCTTGTTCCTCGACGAAGACGATATCTTCGGCTCTGACCTCGCCAGCTGTGCTATGCCGGGCTTGGCGGACTTTATGGATGTCGAAGCACGTGCGCACTCTAAGGCTGAGATGCCCGGACTGGGGGAGTTCGACTTGGAGGGTGCAGTCCGCATGGCCGAGATCAACGCAGAGAAGCGCAAGAGGCACCAGATCAAAGCGGAGCAGCATGAGATGCCCGGACTGGGGGAGTTCGACTTGGGAGAGAAACCGAAGAAGGTTGCCAAGACGGAGAGTGCAGTCCGCATGGCCGAGACCACAGCAGACAACGACAACGGTGAGGTGCCCGCGATCACAGCGCAGAACGGCGACACGGAGAGTGCAGTCCGCATGGCCGAGACCACAGCAGACAACGACAACGGTGAGGTGCCCGCGATCACAGCGCAGAACGGCGACATGCCGGAGATCACCATCCAGGACGAGATGGCCAAGATGCCCCAGGAGATGCCGGAGATCAGACCAATCCAGGACGAGATGGGCAAGATGCCCCAGGAGATGCCGGCGATCAGACCGATCCAGGACGAGATGGAGGAGAAGCCCAAGACGCCGGAGATGGATATGCCGCAGAAGCCTCTGTCGGGGGTGCAGGAGAAAGAGGCTGCCCTCGCAAAGGCACCCCGGGGTTCCAAGAACACATTCGCAGGGCGGACACCTCCGAAGAATGCAGAAGCCAGGGAGATTTTCTTCTGCATCAAGGACGGCTATGCAAAACTCAAGAAGGACTATCCGAAATCCAGCCTGCTCCACCAACAGACTTTCTGGTATAAGGTGGACTCCGTGCTTCGAGCGAACTCTGGCAAAAAGACACCAAGGCCGGGACGTGAAGTCGTCGCAGATGTCATCACAGAGATGAGGTCCAAGCTGAGCCGCTGTGAACCTGCAGGTGCGAGCTGAGTTCTTGTACAGCAAAGGTTTTGAAGCCGGGAACTATGGGGTGCATCCACGGCTTTCTTATGGAAAACGGAGGCCAGCAGCAAGACTTTAGAAGTACGTGCAAGGTTTTGTTTGTTTGCTGTTGAGGTGGGGGGGCCCCCTCGGTAATGAGTCGTAATGAAGTTTGAGCAATACTTTAAAAGTACGCGCAACGTTCTGGAGATTTGCTATAATAGCATTTGAGTTCATTATCGGGGGGGCCCCCCCACTCCAACAGCAAAGCTTTGAAAGCACGTACAACGTTCTAAAGTCTTGCGTCCTGGCCCTGCTTGCCCTGGTTGCCAGGGCCGATATCAGCATTTGCAGCAGCCGTCGCCCTTTGCGCTTACTGGGTGCCATCAGCAAACCGTAGCATTTGAGTAGCATTTCGGCCCGAGAGCGGCATCTGAGAGAGCATTTTCAGGCTTAAGATCGCTGAGATATAGTGTCTGCAATGCAGAAGCTTCGCACGGCTGTCATCACACGCTACACTCCGTGGGGGAGTGACGAGGACTGCACTGTCCCGGACGTCGCCGATGTGTTGAACACTTGGAAGCCCGGTGGTGCAACGGAGATCGCTGCTGCTTTCACAGCCCTCGAGCAGCGACTGAAAGACATGGACCAAGCCTGGCATCCAGTGAAGTGTCAGGCAGTGCCAGCTGTGCCGCACGGTGCAAGCACGGGTGCGCCGGTGGTCCTCAGCTGTCTTGACCTGGGTTTCCAGGAATCAGACTCTGTGCGCGGAAAGTCCAAGATGGTCAACGTTTTGGAGGTCGCGTTTTCCTATATGGACACCCGCCGCTTCGACTCCATGCGCTTGCCACTCAGCGTCTTCTTTGCAGATCCTCCGGGGACGAAGCTGACCCCCTTCTGCACCAAACACATCGTCGGCTTCGGGCGCTCGCTTGCAGCAAAGATGCTGGTCATGGAAGCCTGTATCCTGGAGCCGACCCTGACAGATGAGGAAATGGGAGAGCTCGGCTCCCTGCTTCAGTCTTGCTTTGAGATTCATGCTGTTGTCATGGGGCCTGCCGGCGGCAAAGATATTGGCTATGCATCCATGAGGAACAAGTTCCAAGTGAGCGAATCCGTGCGGCCCGATGTCCTGCAGCTGTACCACGTGCTCTCGGGTATCGTTGCGCAGCCGACCCAGCAGGAGCTCAAGCAGGCGATTGCAGAGTTCAATCGTTCATCCAGCGTGGCCGGCCAGCGAATCAGCGACCTGGAAAGCAAGGTTGTTACCTTTCTCCCCGAACAAACAAGCGAGTTCGGCCGGAAGCTGGAACAGCATTGGCAGAACTACAAAGTCGCGGAATCGGCCGTGCCGATGAAATTTTTCACCCTGCTTTTCTCCGGACCAGGCGACAAGGTGGCAGAAGCTCGGTCTGAGCTTTGGGCCAGGATCTTTTGTGGAAGCGCCTTCAAGAACGAAATGGCTCTGACCTATGCCATCGGCATCTTTCACAAGAACCTGAAGGACAACAGCCGGCACTTGAAAAAGAAAGTCAACCTCAAAGTGCAATCTTCCAAGTTCCGAATTCAGGATCCAGTCCTTGGCTTGAAGCTCTCCTGTGTCTTCGTCGAGTTCCGCCAGGAATGGGCCAAGATGTTGGATGGCAAGCAGCTTGCCGTGGTGGACAAGATGTTTTTGAGAGGCGCCCTCGACAGGGAGCTTGGGGACGCCCTGAAGGTTCAGGACGCCGAGCTCAAGGCCAACTCCTTCAGTTTTCTCCAGTCCGTGACCGGCCAGGTCTCGGACACACAGAAGCTCGAGCAAAGCATCGCACAGGCAGAGATGTCAAGTGAAACAGCACAGTTTGGATTGTTCACGGCACGCTTGCAGAGAGAGCAGCAGCTCTTTCTTGCGCACAAGAAGGCTGTGAACGACTACGAGTCGCTGCAAAAGAACGGCCGGCAAAGCCATGTCGCCATGCAGGAGCAGAAGATGACAAGTCTTGCAGAAGCACGTCTCGAGAGCCGGTATCCCATGAAGGTTGTCCAAGAATGCCACGTCTACCCCTGGTTCGGCACTTGCATTGCCGGTCTGTCTGACACCTTGGCCTTGAACGCAGACAATGCCTACCACATATTCTTCTGCAACCTGACCCACTTCGGCTCCAACTTCAATGCCCATGTGCATGGGATGGCGAGGATCATCGTCGACGGAATTGCGGCCAATCCTTCCAGGACCGATTCTGCAGTGTTCTTTTTTTTGGTCAGGGTTGCACGTCGGCATTGCACATTGCAGCGAACAGGAGTGTGGGGCTGGTGCTGGCACCAAATGTCGGAGTGCCAGGCACCGGCCAGTACGAGGATAATGCAATTCAGAAGGCCCAGGACCAGGTGGACGAGCTTCTGCGAGACTCAAGCAACCAGGTGCGAGTCAGGCGATGTGCCATCGCTTTTGCTGGGCCGCTTGGCAAGAGATCGCTGTCGCACGTTCTCTGGATGGTGATCTCTGAAGTTACAAAGAGTGCCGAGACAGATGAACCGATCAGCTGTTTCGCCTCGAGTGCTCTGTGGAATGGCCGACTTATCAACAACGTTACGACCAAGGCCGTCGCAGACTTCGTGATTCCCAGTATGGCATCCATGAAAGTGGGCGGAATCACGTCTTTCTCGAAGGCGCAGCAGTTCAAGCAGCATATTGCCGGGCCAGCACTGTGCCTCAGTTGTTTCTAGAAGAGTCGTGCTTTGTATACGAGATTACCAAACGTAATAACAAAACGAGCCTCTGCTGTGAGAATGGTTGTCTGAGGATGAGCGGCATCATGGACCAGCTCTGGAAAGGAGTCCCGCTGGGAGCGTCGGCAGTTGCCGGGTGGTTGGACTTGTGCCCTTACGACGGCGGTCTCCTGGCAGCCATGTCTGCGTGTGAGCACATTGCCAATGTTTCTCAGTTCTTGTGCCTTTGCTCACGTGGCATTGGTTTCCCAAGTTGGCGAGTTGTGAAGTAGGACTGCGTCTAATAAGTGATAATTTTGGACAAGCTGGTGGCTTGTCCAAAATCGATCCCCCTGAGTGCAACGGTGGAGAAAGTTAGCTGAAGCGGAACAAAATGCCGACAACCCCCCAAAGACCCACAGATCGAAGTGTGAGTCCATGAATCCAGGTGCTCGGCCTATTGCTTTGAGAATAGCCCGCTGACCCTGTCTGAGATGGCATTGTGGCAGCAGGACTTCGGCCTGAGGTTTCTGACGGCTGCGGTGCGTGCCAGAGAGTGGCGTGAGTATGCACCGGACGGATCGCCGCCTGTCTTCAACAGCCAGGACCTGGTGCTCACGAAAATGGTGCCCTCGGACGGCGTGCTTTCTTTGCCACTCCGACAGGACGTTCTTTCAGAGAAAGAGCGGTGCTTTACACGGCTTGCGGACGAGTTCACGAAAATCATCAATGAGCACAACAAGACCTACAATGTTTCCGGCGTTCCTTGGCGAGGAGACCATGCTCCTCCCGCCAGGTCCTCGGCAGATGAGACTCAGGCGGAGCCGTTTCCAGAGGAGCACGCTGTGACTGAGGAGTCCTTGAAAACGAAGGGCTCCCCTTTGGTGACTGTTCAATCCAGAGTCAGCTCAGTGCAGCTCCTCCTGAAGACAGTCGACGGGACCAAGCAGGTGTACTTGAAGAGCCTCTCCGACGGCACCGTCAGCAAGGAGGAGCCCATCTTCCATGTCTATGGCGACTACGTGACAGGAAAAGAACTCGCAGAGCTGGAGAAAAGCAAGAAAGTCCTGTGGCCCTGGAAGATGGAGAGCATGGACTACTGCCTCAGCATTGCCTCCCCCTTCGAGGATGGGTTCAAGTGCAATCTCACCACGCTGCAGAAGTTCTTCGACTTCCTGGTCACGAAGAACAAGGGCGTGCCGAAGATTGTGTGCCACGAGGTGAAGGACGGGGTTATTAAGTCGACAGAAGCCTGTGCGTACCAGCCGAAGCCCTTGCCAGCGAAGACAGTCGAGAGCAAGGAGAACATCGGAAGCTTGCTTCCGTTTGCCGACACAGACTGGAGCACTGGCAGTCACAAGTTTGGCTTCTTGGAGCTGAAATGCCATTTGAAGTACGAGGACTCGCCACAGAGGTCCGGTCTTTTTCCAGCCAAACCGGCTTACCATCTGAAGAAGACCTATCGCTTCTCGAAAGAGAAAGTCTATCGCATCGCCTGAGTTATGCCGGGATTTTGGACTGCAGTGCTCAGTTTTGTCAGCTTCCCAAGAGATGTATAAGCAGGACTAGCAGCTAGCAACAGTATAGACCTGAAGAATGGACAGAGCTGCAGCAGCACCGCAGACTTGGGGCATTGTGTGCCCATGCCAGCGAGTACCGACAGCAGGGACAGCCAGGAATCAACGTGTGCTGTAATCTGTAGGTGTTCCGACACTCTCTCGGGGCGTCGTCACCTGCTCGAGTGCTCATGTCTTGTGCTTCGGCTCCTCTGTGTGTGAGAGGCCGCCCGATTCTTTTCCTCCACGAAGCATTTCAGAGATGGCCCACATGGGCAGTCAAAAGTGTGGATGTGCTGTGCTGCCGTCAACCCGTGCTTCCTTAGAAGTTTCAGGCATTGCATTGCACAGTTTTCCGTCAGACGTTTGTGTTTGTCTGCATGTCTCAATGCTCAGAGGCAGCTGGGAAGCCGCTGCAAATTTTCCGGGCTCTTTGGTCCTCACCTGTGTTCGGCAATGGCTGCTTTCTTTCTGACTGGCCTGGTTGATGACAGCGTTGACAACGAAGACAGTGTTTCTGAGGAGTTTCACACACCGCAGAAGGGTCCAGGTGCCCAGCTGCCTGTGGACAGCCCGCAATCTCAGGCCAACCAGAAGGGGAAAAAGAGCAGCAACAGGAAGCCCAGAGGCAAAGACAAGACCCTGCGTGCACGCAGGGGCACCGGGGAGTCTTTTGCTGGACGGCACTCACCCAAGCACGGCGTGAAGGCTCGACTCTTCCATAGCATCAAGGACACCTACTGGCTTTTGCGGTCGGAGTTTCCAGACAAACAGCTTCAACAGGCTGATTTCTGGAAGTTGGTTCAGGACTTGGTCAGGAAGGAGAAGGAGTTCCTGTTGGCGAATCCAAAAGCAGGCCCGGCATCGGATCCAGAAGACATAGTGGCACGAGCTGGGGCAATGACCCGGCAGCGGCTGAGTAGCATCTAGGGCCTAGGGGAGTTGGGGTTCTTGTTCAGCTTTGTTGTGAAAGCACACCAGAAGCAACATCAAAGCTGAGTCTCAGAATGAGATGGGGCTGTTAACTCTGACTTTGGGGCAGCAGAAAATGAGGATGCTGGCCCTTGCGACATTACAGAGGTGATAGATTTAGAGGAAGTCTGTCAATCTGAGCATGTCGTGCTCATGCCTCATGCCAACTTACTTGCTTTTCATGCTGGAGACAGTTTCTGCCGAGGCCAGCGCATGGACTGGGAAGCCAAGCTCTCAGGAAAGCACTGCAGTGTCTAGAGTCCAGAGTACGTTTGTTTGGAGCTTGCATCAGCTGCCTGAGAGACGAAGTGTCATGTCAGAGAACGTTTGCGCTTGCAGTGGGCATGCTTGGGAGCGGATGCTGTGACAAGATTGAGACACTTGGATTTTGAAGACCTGTTGCAACGTAGCCTTTGATCTGCAGCCAGAGCTCTCAATCCTGTGAAAGCAGACTGCTCGTTTTGAGATGTAGCCAGCCTTGGCCTGACTTGCACAATGGATAATCGAGTCCAGTAGCTAGCAGCTATAGCAGACCAGCAAGTTTTGAACACGTCCTTGTCACAATGACGAAGCCGAATCTGTCCGTGGCACCATTCGCCGCGCTGACGGTTTTCGGCTTCACTTTGCGCTCTGCTCTGCTGGAGTATGACAATATTCCCCGCACAGCAGATGTTTTTGAGTGTTGGAGTGGCCAGGGCAGCATCGCCAAAGCGGCAGAGGACTCCAACCTTGTGGCAACGGTCTACGACAAGTACAGACCAGGAGCAGATCCGGCCGAGGACTTGACGTTCGAATCGGGGTTTCGGCTTGCACTTACGCGCGTGATGGCTCTGAAGCCAGGCAGCTTGGCTTGGTTCGCTCCGCCCTGTGGGACATTCACTTGGTTGGATCGCCACCACTCGAAGCGAACCAAACAAAATCCCCTGGGAAATGAGGATTATGCACCTGTGCGCAATGCAAACTTACAAGCCATGGCTATGATTTTCATGGTCTGTTTGTGCCTGCTTCGCGACGTGCTGCCCGTGGTCGAACAACCGGCGCAAAGCCAAATGTTCAGACTCCCTACGATAGCCCATGTGTTCGAGAAGCTGAATCTAACATCCACCACTTGCACAAGGTGCTCTTTCGACGACTCAGAGTGGGGCGACCGCATCTTCAAAAGATACAAATTTGTGGGGCAGGCATGGATCCAGAACCTTCACCGGACGTGCTACTGCCCGCACGGGAAGCATAAGGAACTGGTGAGTGTGCGATTTTGCAAGAAAAGCAAGAAGACAAAGAAAACCGGTAAAAAGGCTCTACTCGTCCTGAGTGGGCGATATCCACCCCGCTTGGGCCGCTTCATCGTGGATGTATGGCTCGCCAACCGAGATCAGCCTGACGGGGAGGTCGTTGAGAAGAAGTCGAAGACTCCTCGTCCAAAGGGCAAAGTCACCGTCAAGAGGAAAGGTGCCAATGCAAAGGCCAAGTCCTCGCGGCAGAAACCGAAGCCAGAGGCCAGGAAAGCATCCACTTCGGAGAGCTGGAAGCAAATGGAAACAGGATCGCATCAGGAGGACGAGCCTGCCTCCAAGCAGGTCCGTGTATCGGACTGGAAGCAGATGGACTTAGGAGCAGACGATCCAGATGAGCAGGGTAGCTTGGATACGGATTGGAAGAAGATGCTCCTGTGACTTCCCCCGCCAGGGTGCGGCAGTGCTCTGCAGAAAGGGCATTGTATTTTTGCAGGTAAAAACAAGTGCATCAGCGTGTGTCAGTCTGCCTGAGCATCTGTGACCGCACTGTGCAGCTGTGCTTCTGTTTCTTGCAAAGGTCCTCGATCTCACGGCAGGCCCGCGCTTGCAGGGCATCAGCTGCAGGTTTGAGCTCCCGTGGTAGTTGCAACCCCAGCTGCCATTCAGAAGTGTGTCCTGACCCTTCTTCTGTGAAGCAGCTGTTTCGGCACCATGTCCTGGAAGCGTCAGAACCCAGGGGAGGTTTCAGCAGAGGACCAGGAATGGAAAAGAATGTGCGTTTCAGATTCAGACATCTCGCGTGGGCAGGACGAGGTCCCTGGGTCGTCTTGGAAGATCATGTCTCTCCAAGATGATTTTCCGGAGGCAGAATGCAGAAAGGACAGCTGGCAGATCATGACCCCCGGTGAGGACACAGCTGCCGACTCACAAAGTCGGTCCATTTCGGATTTGCCAAAGCATGCGAAACATGTCATATCTTTTGATCTCGCGACCATGAGTTTTTTGAAACCACGAGAGTCTCAGAAGGACCCAAGTGTTTATGCGACCAGAGCTGTGGACAAGGACCGTATAAAGACCCTCTTAGCCAAGGAGACATGCAGTTGCAAGGCTGAGTGCTTCAAGCAGTTCCGGCTTGACGAGGTAGCCAAATTACGGGAGTTGTGGCATTCACTGGGGAATGACTCACAGGAGCAATATGTGCAGTGCCAATATGCAGAGAGCCAATCTTCAGGGGCACAAGATTTGCGAGAGACGTCGACGCACAGGACGAACTGGCATGTGTTGGGCCGCCCAGTTTGCTGCAAAGCAGCTGCGTCCCTGCTTGGTTCATCTGTTAAAACTCTACAAAGGCGATTACAGGGTATGCCAGATTTGCGACGGGATCGGGGAACGCCGACACGTGTCCCTGTCAAGCGAAACCTCTTAGATGTTTTCTTTGCTGAGCTGTACCACAGCACTGCCGAGCATTTGCCAGAGAAGCATGCAACTGAGAACTTGGATGACAATCCAACTACGAAGAGTTTGCTTACCGACGCAGAAGCTAGCACCTTTGCATGGGCGCCTGAGAGCTGTTTGTTGGAAGCGTTCTCAGCGCCAGGTTGCACCGATGCAAGCACGCCGAAACGGATGCTTCCACCCGGCAGCCCGGTGCACCTGTACTGGCAATTCCAGGCTTGGTGCCAAGCTTTAGATGGGCTGAGTGCTGACAAGCCTGAGAAGGCACCATCGTGGAGCACATTTTACCGGAGCTGGTCAGAGAGATGGAGTGGTTGCCTTGCTTTTCGAAAAAAATCACAGCATGTCGACTGCCAGGAATGCTTTGAGTTTCGGGAGTTGCTACATTCGCGAAGTACGCCTCAGGAGACGAAGCTTCAAAAGGCGAAAGAATGGCAGCAACACTTGCGGGCTCAATATGCAGATCGCCTCTTGTATTGGGGGATAAGACTCTCAGCCAGGCAAGGTGCAGGAGTTTTGTCCCTGGTGGTCGACCGCTCGAAAATAGTTTTTCCACGTTACGACTTCGTCAGTGGGAAAGTGCCACCCAGCCTCGACGGTTTCCACCGTCCAGGCCTGGTGCTGACTGGAGTCATAGTGCATGGCTTCTGCACTTGCCTTTTTTTGCAATATTTACACTATCCACACGGCGCATCTTTTAGTTGCGAGGTCATCCTGCGGGCAATCGACTGTGCCAGAGAGGTGGCCAGAAGGCGTGGCACGGTGCTACCAGAGCACCTGTGCATTCAGAGCGACAACACGACAGCACAGACGAAGAACAGCACATCGATGTTGTTGGCATCATATTTGACTGGGTCCGCCCGGTTCATGACGACAACATGCAACTTCCTCGGACGAGGCCACACCAAAGAGGACATCGATCGGTTGTTCAGCTGCGTCCTGACAAAAGTCTTGAGACCTTTCAAGTGGCAAACACCTGGGCAGTTCATGAACCTTCTGCAATCTGAGTTGGGTCCCATGATCCGTGCCAGAAATGAAGAGCTCTTTGTAGAACAGGTTCACCACATACGCGACTTTGACTCTTGGCTTGGTGGTCTCGGCGTACACTTGAGTGGCACTTTTCTGCCAACACGGGATGGCCCCGCAGCTCACTCTTTCACCTTCAAAGTGCGTTCAGACCTATCTCTAAGAGACCAGGCAAGGATTCTGGTAAGAAGGGGAGCTCCCAGGCCAGATCCGGATGATGTGTTTTGTCTCACAAAGGCTCGGATGCATTCCACTGAGACACAGCCACCGTTGCTAGTGCTGCCGGCCTCATCATGGAGAAGCTTAGCACATTCACCGATGTCGCGTGTGGCCACGAACACCATGACAGAGATTGTGGAGGCCAACTACAGAAAACTCAAGAAAAGTCTCGAAGCTCTTCAGCAACCTTACACCGAGGCGATTCGTGCGATTGATGAGCTTCTGAGCGACTGGCACGCAGCACACCTGCCCCCTCCGCCTTTTCAGATCTTGAGCGGAGCATTCCCACAGAGACAGCGGGTGGAAGTGCACAGAAACGAATACTTCGAGCATCTCCCAGATATTAGCCGGAGGCTGATTGCCACATTTCGTCGCAACTGATTGCTGCTTCAGAGGTCGCGAAAAAGCGTGTTTTTAACTCCGTTTACCTAAGAAAACCCAATTCGCAACCGGTTGCGTATTGGAATTTCCCAAGGATTTGGGGTGAAAGAGATATATGCACATGGTTGGGAGGATATAGGTATGTATATGTACTAGGGAAATGCTACAATTACCTAAGAAAACCCAATTCGCAACCGGTTGCGTATTGGAATTTCCCAAGGATTTCGGCTGGAAGAGAGACATATGCACATGGTTCGGAGGATAGACGTATGTGTATGTACAACGTAAATGCTAGGATTACCTAAGAAAACCCAATTCGCAACCGGTTGCGTATTGTAATTTCCCAAGGATTTGGGGTGAAAGAGATATATGCACATGGTTGGGAGGTTATAGGTATGTATATGTACTAGGGAAATGCTACAATTACCTAAGAAAACCCAATTCGCAACCGGTTGCGTATTGGAATTTCCCAAGGATTTCGGCTGGAAGAGAGACATATGCACATGGTTCGGAGGATAGACGTATGTGTATGTACAACGTAAATGCTAGGATTACCTAAGAAAACCCAATTCGCAACCGGTTGCGTATTGTAATTTCCCAAGGATTTGGGGTGAAAGAGATATATGCACATGGTTGGGAGGTTATAGGTATGTATATGTACTAGGGAAATGCTACAATTACCTAAGAAAACCCAATTCGCAACCGGTTGCGTATTGGAATTTCCCAAGGATTTGGGGTGGAAGAGAGACATATGCACATGGTTGGGAGGATAGAGGTATGTGTATGTGCAACGTACATGCTACGATTACCTAAGAAATCCCAATTCGCAACCGGTTGCGTATTGTAATTTCCCAAGGATTTGGGGTGAAAGAGATATAAGCACATGGTTCGGAGGATAGAGGGAGAATATAGGTTTGTGTATATATCCCCCAAGCTACAGTAGCAGCTCCCAGCAGATCCCCAAGCGCTTGGGATAACAGCTAAAAGCACGAAGAACTGCGTCCGAAAGTCATTCCACAGGAAGGAAAGCACACAAAATGTCGGTCCAAGACTAGGAACTTTACCAACGGCACCTCGGTTTTAACCCGGAAAAGGAAAAGACCCGGAAAACTCTGGTGGAAAACTCAGGCAAACCCCACAGAACCCCACAGAAATTCCGCAGAAACTCTATTTAACCGAAGGAGGGGTCGGTTAAATGGACGGTTTTTGGGGGTTTTAGGGGGTGTTTTGGGGGGTTTTGGAGGGGTTAAATGGACGGTTTTGGGGGGTTTTGCAGGGGCTTTGCGGGTTTTTGGACGGTTCTTTGGGTGGTTAAGGGGGGTTTTGCGGGTTTTGCATCGGTCGTTTGGGGGTTTGGGGGTTGGAGGGGTCGATTAAATGGACGGTTCTGGTGGGTTTGGAGGGTTTAGGGTTTTTTTTAGGGGGAGGGGGTCGGTTAAATGGACGGTTTTGGGAGTTTCCATCGGTCCTTCCTTATATTTACAGAAAACCCTAAACCCTATAAACCCTTACGTAGTGTGCCCTGTGCCGGGTACCATCTACGAACAAAATACATACACACGGACAGTCCCAATGACAAGCCTCCATGACTGTGTCAGGCCCTGGCCTCCCGTGGCAATTTCGAGCTGATGGCTGAAGCCAGGTCTCTGCCTCAGTGAAGAGAAGATACAGAGACTGTGTTCAAGGCCTGCCACCACCCAACATGAAGCACTGAGAGAGCGCAAGAACTTGCAAGAACACATGTCCAATGTGCAATCAGAGGGTGTGACAGTGCAGCAACATGAGTCACAGGCAGTTGTTTGTAGACTTTCGTTCGGACCTTGGCAACGGTGGTTTTGCAGCAGAATGTCCAGCGTGCAGCAAATGCGTACAGACCTGGCAACACGCCTTTTTTTCATTTCAGGCGGTAGAGGTACTGCGGTGGCACGGCCTCCATGAGGAACACGTCGTTTGCAGCCCGCCACAGCTGCAGGCCCTCCTAGGTTTTATTCAGATCGTCCTGAAACCCTAAACCCTAAATACTGGCCTAAACCCTACGTTGCAAATTTACAAAAGCTGGTTCCAACGTGGCTGAGAAACGGAGACTGCCTGTCGGGCTGCCACACGCACCCACAGCGTCGCCTTTCGCCTGCCCAGAGCCTCCCGATCCTGGAACCGGACCAGGTGCACATGGGTCCGGTTGCCACGAAGAAGCCCCTGCCTGAGCAAGAACAGCAACCGTAGCATGCAAAGGTCAGCAAATCTACCAGCAGCAGAACAAAAAGACACGTCTGTCCTTAATTTTGTGCCTAGACACTGATAGATGCTCTGTTCATGCTCCTTGAAGCTGCCGTGGAAGAGCACCTCAGAAAGACTGC